GAAGGAGAGAGTTCTTGAAAGGTAGCTTCCTTTAGCAAAAGAAGCTAGAACTTTAGCAAAGGCTGAGAACTGTTAAGAGTAAACCATAGTTCTAGAGGATCGGTGTCAAACTGTGACAAAGAGAAGACTTTTAAATTGACAAGCAGAAAAGGTGAAAAGGGTGGGGATGAACTTTTCTAGATACCTTTGAAGGCCAGGGTTAGAAATTCTGTCTCAGGCCAGCAGGTAGCTTGATTGTTAAGGCACTGTATCACACATGGGCGATTTCATGGTTCAAATCCTGGACTCAGAGACTTTATTAAAACATTCAGGGTACATGTGTATGTGCCCAAAATCCTGAAAGGAGAATGGAGAGGGGATTGTAGCACGTTCACCCTCCCTAATGGGGGGGAATGGTGTGGTTTCTCACACACCCCCACAAGCACATGTGCTCTATGGCAAAAAGAAAAAAAAATTCTATCTTCAATTCTTTAGAATGTTGGAGCTCAGAGGTCCTTTAGAGAATAAAGTCCAGAGGTGATTATCCAAGGGCATTCAGCCAGTTAGTGAAGGAGCCAGAACTGGAACCCAGAATTCACATATGAGAACAGTCAATACATATACTATCTTGTGTATTTTTTTTCCCCCTTTTTTTGGAGAGGTTTTTGCTGGAGGGTGGTGTGCTGGCCAGAGATAGACAGGGAGGGAGGGAAAGCATCCCCCAGTGGGACGCGCTCACACTGCAATCCCCTCTCCATATGGAGGTGTGCACGCGCACACACCTACCGTGTTTTATAGCCACTGAGGCCGAGATTCAAACCTGAGTTTAAGCCACTGGGTCCAGGACTCGAACCGCGGTCGACTACATAGGAGTCCAGCGACATAGCCATTACGCTAACTGCTGGTCCCAATCTTGTTATTTTTGATAAAATAATATCAGACATTCTTCTGAGATTATTTTAAGTTTCCTTCAAGTAGCTACTTCTTAGCACCTACTGAATCAAAGGTATAGTTCTTTAAGGAAAAGTACTTAATTTGTATCTTTCATGAGATTTAGGACTATAACATATCCCAGTAGGCACACAATACATATTTGTTGATTTTTGCATCCTGATTAATTGAATTAGCATGCTCACATAAGGACATACCATTGCAATGGCTGATCTAATTTAACTAGGAGCCACACATGATATTTTCTTTTTAAAGAGATTTTTGCTATAGGGTGCATGCACTCACTGGAGAGACAGAGAGACAGAAAGTAAGAAATAATCCCCAAGGGGGGATGGCCATGCCACAGTTCCTTCTCCTCCATTCTCCTCTAAGGATTTTTGGGCATGCATATACACGTGCCTAGCATGAGTTTTTATGCCACTGGGTCTGGGACTTGAACTGCAGTTAACTACGTGGGAGTCCCCTGACATATTATTCTATCTGGTGGCTCCCATGACAGTGTTATTGTCTTACCCACTACGTCCTATTAACTTTGTTTTCTTGACAGTAGGTAGCCAGAGAGGGTTTGGACCAGAAAATTTGCAGAATGATAGTGTTTTGTTTCTGTTTTTGTTTTGCTTTTTTTAAAAGCAACCTTTTGCCTGGAAAGTAAACTATAAGGCTCCAGGCTCTCCCAGAGAATACTGCATCTGTAGTTCTTGTCATACTGCCTTGCTTCTAAAGAAGTATAACTGGTAATGTTCAATGTAAAAAGTCTACATGCTGACAAGTGTGACTGTGCCTGGAGTATGCTACAAGTCAGTGTTAAGGTGTTCCCTGGAATGAAGGAGATAAAATTTAAAGTCACTGTCTTTTGTGCCTTCCAAGATCATTTTCGCTGTGCTTAACATATTTTAAAGTCCTTTTCCTCTCCTAAGCAAAAGGTGAACCTCAAATGACTGTTAGTTGTTTAAAAAAAAGCAGTACTGACCCCACTCTGATTCAGGGATCTGCCTTCCAATTACATACCGCTGAAATAACCCTTAACCCCTGTGGTTCTTCTTGCAGGGTTCAGACTAGGCAATGTGATACATGCTATACAGGCAACCGAGCAGAGCATTCATGCCAGTGACCTGGTGCCCCGCTTATGCCTGACAGTAGCCAACCTGAACCGTGTGATTTATTTCATCTGTGACACCATCCTGTGGGTGAGGAGTGTGGGTCTTGTCTCTGGCATCAACAAAGAGAAATGGCGAACGTGGGCTGCCCGCCACTACTACTACTCTCTCCTGCTGAGCCTGATCCGGGATCTGTATGAAATCTCCCTGCAGATGGAGCAGGTTGCACATGACAGGACAAAGAAGGAGAAATCATCATCCCAGAATTCTCTTGCGTACAGCGTAGCTGATGAAGAAACAGAATGGCTCCAGTCTTTTCTCCTTCTCTTATTCCGATCTCTGAAGCGGCATCCTCCTCTGCTACTAGACACAGTGAAGAACTTGTGTGACATCCTGAACCCCTTGGACCGACTGGGGATCTATAAGTCCAATGCTGGCATCATCGGACTTGGAGGTCTCGTGTCTTCTATAGCAGGCATCATCACTGTGGCATATCCTCAGTTGAAGCTGAAGACTCGCTAGGGTGTTAGTACACAGAGGACTAAGTACCCACTTTGAAAGATACCTTCTGCATGAAATGGACATTTGCATAGTCACAGGCAGTATCACACTGTGCTTAAGTTCTTGTGAGCTTTTAGCATGTGAGCAGAGATGGGGCCAAGAATGGATAAAGTGAGAGCATAAAGATTGACACATTTTTAGAGTGCTGGACTGACTACTGAATTCATGAATATTTTCCCTTCATCTAACATTTACTGAGCATCTCTTAGACACATAGTAGGAGCTTGGTGTTTGCTGAATGAATAAAAATTGAAAGGAAAAAAATTGGAAGAGACCCAACCAAACTAATATGTGAACACTAATATACAGTAACTTTGGATTAGTATGGATCATTCAGAAGACTACAGTAGGTCTGATGCATAACTCTCTCAGCTCTGGTAGAGGTCCCTATTTTCTCTAATCAGTTACACACACAGTAGTTGTCTGTACCAGGATGGAGGGGAACTGGACTTAATGGCCTCTTGACACTTAACATCCCGTACACTCATGTCCTTGTTCTGTCTAGAGGGGCAATCAAAAAAGCATCGATCAGGCACCTTCAGGGTATAAATTGTGTCTATGGGGAGAGGTCTTTAGGCAGTGTAGTGAATAAGCAAAAATCAGAAGCAGACAGAAGGGCCTAGGGTAAGATTAGGCAGAGGGTTGCTGTGTATGCCTGTGTATAGCTGGGGACAAATAAGGAAAACTGATGCTGAAAAGAAAACCAAACTGGTCAGATCCTCATTTCCTGACTCTCAATCTGGTGTTCTCTCGCTGATAAATCACGGTCTTCATGATCAAGTGGAAATATGAGGCTTTGCATAATACTGTGCTTTCTGCCTCTTACCCTCTCCAAATTTGGAAACTTTCATTGGTCAGTGATTTATATTCAATTTTACAAAAATTAAACTATATCTATTATATAAAGACAAAAAAAAATCAATTTAGGCAACTTCACATTAATTTTCATCAGAATTTATGCAGTTAAAATTTCATGAATGCAGGACCAGCAGATGCCATAATGGTTATGACACTGGACTCTTAACATACTTGACTGCAGTTTTAGTCCCAGACCTGGTGGCTGAAAACTCATGCTGGACATGTGTGTGCATGCCCGGAATCCCAAAAGGAGAATGGAGGAAAAAGGATTGCGGCGTAGCTACCCGCCGTGGGGGTGATTTCTTCCTTTCTGTCTCCCTGTCTCTCCAGCAAGTGCATGTGCCCTATAGCAAAAAATCTCTCCCCCCAAAAATTTCATGAATGCTCTGTGGAAGTAGGAGGATCACAATTTTCTGTGAGAAATCAGCCTTCTTATTTGTAGTATGGAAGGGGGTGTTGAGAAAGAGCAGTGAGAGGCCAGTGAAGAAAATGCAGGAATACTGACTCAGTGATATTGACTCATGTTCCTACTTCCCCTCTTGGGTGCTAGATCCTTATTTGTGATTACACATCCTTTAGTTTAAAGGAGGTGAGGTGAGGAAATAAGACGTCAACAGGTAGGAGACCACTATCAGTCCTACCAGAAACCATGTCATTTATCTAAATGAGGATGAGAAAAAATATGCACTCAGCAAATTTCCTATTAATATGATTGAGAATCGATCTCAGATCTTGGCTCTATCAAGATACTGGCTTTGAGAAAACACATTTTGAGAATTTTAAGAACAATGGAAGATGAGGGCAAATAAAAAATTTAAATAACTTTTTACCTTGTTTGGATCCTGTACTATAACTGATTAATAGTGTCCAATAAATTTCTAGAGAAAACTGACTGGTGTCTGGAATGTGTTCTGGGGATGGAGAAGAGTTAAAAGGTAATCAAGTAGCTAGTCCTTAATTAGAGTCTGCATGGTTGGTAGAGTGAGCTTTGGGCAGGAAAATTCAGGCTGAGGAGGATGAAGAAGGAATATTTAGATGGAAAACCTTTGGTTCAGAGGAACGTCTAAATGATCTCATCCAGATTACTATCCTGGAGAGGGTGGTCTATAGCAGTCTGGCAATGGTTGTCTACCTTTTTCCTCAAGTCTGTCTCGAAATTATGGTGATGTTACAGTAGTAGCCATCTTGGTACTTTTGTCTTACTCAAGTTAGAGTGTGTGGGTGGTGGGGAATTTGGGGAAATGCCACTCTTCTAGAGTTTGTATAAATATTTATTTACTTATTTATTTTAGATTTTTGCTGTATGGTGCATGTGCATGCCAGATAGAAAACAAGAAATCACCCCATAGGGGAGATGACCATACCACAATCCCTTCTGGATTTTGGGCACGCAGGCACATGCACCCGTTGTGAGTTTTAAGTTGCCAGGCCTGGGATACAAACCATAATCGACTACATGGGAGTCTCGTGACATAACCATTACGCCATTTACTGGTCCCAGTTTGGGTAAATCTTAATGGTACCCTGGTGCCTCCTTTCTGCATTTCTCTCTCTGTTTTTTTTTTTTTGGCTGTAGGGCACAAGCACACACTAGAGAGAGAGGGAAAGTGAGAAATCACCCCCTCTGGGAATGGCCAACACCACAATCCCTTCTCCATTCTCCTCTCAGGATTTTGGACACATGCACAAGCACACCCAGTGTGATTCTCAAGCCACTGGGTCTGGGACTCGAACCCATGCAGTTGGCTATGTAGGAGCCAGTACCTTAACCTCCACACTACCTGGCAGCCCCCTTTCTCCTTTCTAACCTTCCTCTCCACTCCCAAGCCACATTCGTGAGGGATTCTAAAAACCAAAGAAATTCCTAGTAGATACACAGTCCACATTTACAATTGGGCATTGCAGACTGAGAGTTTATTCAACCATGGCTGTTAGAGTGCCATCCTTGGTTTTAGGGGTTTGCTTGTAAACAAGATGACCAAGGTCTTTGCTTTCATGTGCTGGTGGAAGGGTGAGGGGAGTGGATGCAGACAGGGATGCCTCTGGAAAACTGACTTTTCCATCTTCCTTTGGGACTCTCTGAGGCCCTTTTACTACTTCTCACCTCTCACCCACATTCTGGACTCCCAGCCTAGGCTGCCACAGGACTAACTTTGTCAGCAGAGCTTTCAGGCACAGAGCCCTCTACTCCCTCTGGCCCAAAGCCATGATTCCAAAGGCTGAAAACTGCCCTGTGCCCTGGTTACTGTCCAGACACAGCCTCACAGATAATTTATCCTGAACCCTTAAGTAAAGGCAGAGTCCACTTCTCTAGATACTTTCTTTTTCCCCCATTACATTCTTGTTTATGTTTGTTTTGTTTTTGTATTTTTTTTTTTAGGTTTTTGCCATAGAGCACATGCACTCACTAGAGAGACAGAGACACAGTGAGAGGGAAAGTTAGAAATACATCCTCTGAAAAGATGGCCACACTTCAGTCCCTTTTCCTGCATTCTCCTCTCGGGATTTTGGACATGTATGGACACATGTTTGGTGTGATTTTCAAGCTACCTGCTCCATAACTTGAACTGTGATCAGCCATGTAGGAATCTAGCGCATTAACTACTATGCCAACTGCTGATCCCCAGTTCAATAAGTTTTTTATTTTCAGGAATTATTTTATTTAACTTTATTTATTTATTTGCTTATTTTGATTTGGCCAGAGGGGGACAGAGCAAGAAAGAGAGAGAAGAAAAGTGAGAAATTAAGCCACCATGTCCAGGACTTGAATTGCGGTCTGCCGTTTGGGAGTCCAGCGCCTTTAACCACCACACCACCTGCCAGCTCAAAGCTTCTTAACTCTAGGAATTTACAGAGGTTGAAGTTGCTCCCTCAAAGTTCAAGTTCTCAGTCCTCAGATCCATCTCCTTATTGAGGCAATTTATCTTCATAAATCAAAGACAAGTATATTTCAGGTGGATTCTGTTCCTGTTAAATCTTGAGAAATATATTAAACTGTCCCACAGTACCCTCTGTGGAAAAGGAGCCAAATATTACAGAATTATAAAGTTCATAGAAAATGCATGCTGTGAAAATATACATGGATTATTTTTATTCTTATTTTTAAATTTGCCATAGAGCATGTGTGTGAGAGAGAGAATGGGAAAGTGAGAAATCATCCCCTGGGGGGATGTCCATGCCACAATCCTTTCTTCATTCTCTCAGGATCTTGGGCATGCACACACACTCCCAGTATTTTGAAGTTGTTGGGTCTGGGACTTGAACCATGCAGTTGACTGTGTGGCATCCATCCTCCTTAACCACGTGCTTTGCCTAGCCCTAATTTATATATATATTTCTTGCATGAAAATAAACTTGTACCTTAATTCTGTCCATGAACTCTTTGAAGTACCCTCATATCACAGTACCTTTTTTTCCTTAAGGAATTATTTTATTTAACTATATTTATGTATTTAATTTGACCAGAGAGGAGAGAAAGGAAAGGAAAGTAAGAAAGCAAGCCACCAGGTTCGAGACTCGAACCACTGTCGGCCATGTGAGAGTCCAGGGCCCTTAACCCCACTATGCCACCTGCCGCCCTGCCCCCCAGTACCTTCTTTCTAGAAAGCAGTTTTTGTGTGAATTAGGGGCCAGACATGTTAGAGAGTTGAAATGTTAGAGAATTCATGGCTCTGTCGTAGCTCCCCAAAATCTCTAAGTGCTGTGATCTCCCTTCTTGTTGGCGACATGTCCTTGCAGAAGTTAGGATATGCTCAGGGGACTGTAGGTCAAATAACCATGACAACCAGCTGACCCCACTCACTCTTCCTCTCTGCCCTCCTCTAGCTGGGAGGTGTTACTAGCATTGCCCAAGACTCCCTGGAGTGGCTGGAATTGTGTGTTTGAGGAGACACTCTGCAGCCTGGACCCTGAGACTGAGGCAGCAACTTGGCCAGCTGGAGTGAGTGTGGGGGTCCTGGGGCATCCGCCTACCTGGTTTGTTTATGAGCATTGAAGGGAAGAAGTGGAAGGTGAGGGCCTCCTGGGAATCTTACTGGGGATGAAGAGACCTGCAGGGAAACCACTGAGAAAGAGATTTGACAGGATGACCAGAGTATAGAGTCACTGGGGCCACTTCTCTTATAGAACATGGCTTAGACAGCTGGCCTTGCGAGTAACTGCTTACTCATATGCTGAGCAGGCAGATATGCCTGCTTAGAAATAGAGGCATAAGCCCAGCCTCATTAAAAACAAAAACAAAACAACTAAACATGAGGCTTACTCTTTTAGTCTTTTGAATCCTCATTTAAAAGCCCAAATACGTCACCTAAAACCTTTTATCCCTTTCAGCTACCAGTATTTTTCATTTTATACCCTAAACTCTCATAAGAAATACCAATCTTGGCAGGGAGGCAGAGTCCTACTTGTGGCTGTGGGACTCTGAAAAGGGATGGCCTCGTGTGTGATATTCACCCTCCAACCTAATGCCTTCTGTCAAGGCAGTTGAGCTCCCAGACAGTCTTGGCCCGATTGGTGGCTGTGAGAGGTAGGGAACTGACTGTGGATCACAAGTCTCTGATGTGTCTGGGACCCTCTGCTTTGCAGCTTGAAGAGTCTGAAGAACGAGGATGGCAGTCAACAAGGGCCCAATTTTGCTGGATGGAGACCTGCCTGTAAGTACCTTGGGCTCATTTGAGACAGGGATGGATAACAAGAGCAAGATATGTCTTAGCCATAAGTTTAGTTCATCGACCACCCTGCCTATTCATTCTTGCCCCATTCACTACCTTTTTGTAGTGGGGCTATTGGAGGGTCTGGGGATTTCTCGCTTTCCCTTTCTTTCTCCAGCGAGTAGTTGTAGTAGTAGTTGAGCTGTTGGAGGATTGGGGGAGAGGGGAAATTGCCTGTTAAGAGGTAAACATTGGGGCCAGCAGGTGGTGTGGTGGTTAAGGTGCTGGATTCCCACATGGCTGACAGTGATTCACATCCTGAACTCAGTGGATTGAAAATTATGCTGAGTGAGTGTGCACGCATGCCCAAAATCCTAAGAAAGGAATGGAGGAGAAGGGATTGCAGTATGCACATCCTCCCAGGGGGTGATTTCTCCCTTTCTCTCTCTCTCTCCCCACCTATGGCAAAAGCCTTAAAAAAAAAAAAAAAGGAAAGAAAGAAAGAGACATCAAATTATAACTGTCTGGGGTATGGAGGTGTCACTAGACCATGGTGTGAACTTTTAAACTAAGTTAAGAATGGTAACTGTTTAACATGAAGAAGAGGACTCTAAAGGACATATTTGACTTCAAATATGTGAAGAGCTAATCCATGGATGATGAAATAGATTTGCTCAGTGTCATTCCAGAGGGCAGAGGGTGGGACAGACAGGGTGGGTGTAAATTTCAACTCGTTAAGCTGTCCAACAAGGGCCACAGGCCACTCTGGAGAGGGAGAGCTCCCAACCAGGGAAACATCCAAAGTAAGTCTTCCAGATAAAGTATAGCCAGGGGGGGGATCTCACTGGAACTTTCCCCAGAGGCTTCAGGTTCTGTGATTGTGCTGCTGGGCAGATCTAACCTGACATTCTGCAAGGGGCCACCCTGCCTGTGATTTCTTCAACATACTGTGTCAGGCTTAGGCCCCGGGACACAGAGATGACAGTCTGTGGAAGAGCGAGCAGTACACACCTAATCACAGCACGATGTGATGAAAGTGGAAATAGCCCAGGGAAGGAAGTAGTGGCTTCTGATGTGAGGGGAGAATGCCTGGAACCTTACGGAGGAAACGATGATGAGGGAATAGCTTCCTGATAGGCAGAAAGGGTTGTGAGATGTGAGGTGAGCTCTCTTGGCAGTGGGACCAGATGAGCAGGCAGGGAGCAGGATGTCAGATATTCAGATTGTGTCACCGATCCGAGGTGGACCGTGACTCTGGATGTCAACATGCTGTGTACAAGTAAGTTTAGAGAGACAGCTGGGAGCAGGTGGGAGTTGCCTTGGTTCAGAACAGAGATGACCTCTGCACTCGCCAGAAGTGTTCAGGTCCAGGAGGGCATGGCAGGCTGCCTCTCATTTTCCCTGTGGGCTCCTCCATGCTCCCACGACAGGCATCGAGGCCTCTTTGGCCATGTTTCCTCCCAGGGCACTTGGACTCAGGCTAGCCTCACCATTGGACTTTGGGACTTCATAACTCTGGGACTACTGTCCCAGGCGGGAGAAGAGGGCAGTGAAATGACCTGAATGCATTTCCTCCACACCAGGAGCAGGAGAACGTGCTGCAACGGGTCCTGCAGCTGCCGGTGGTGAGTGGTACCTGCGAATGCGTCCAGAAGACCTATGCCAGCACCAAGGAAGCCCACCCCCTGGTGGCCTCTGTGTGCAATGCCTACGAGAAGGGCGTGCAGAGCGCAGGCAGCTTGGCTGCCTGGGGCATGGAGCCGGTGGTCCGCAGACTATCCACCCAGTGTGAGTCCTCATGGTGCTCAGTGGCTGCCTGTCTGTCTGCCTGGCAGTCTGTCTGATTGCCTGCCTATATGCCTGCACCTCATCACTTGGTCTTCTTATCTGTAGATACAAAGATGCAGATAAGGTATAGATGCAGATCCCTTTTCATCAATAGATGCCCCATCTCCACCCAGGAGCATTTTCCTGGGATAACGACAATGGGGCAAAGAACTTGCAGGGGAAAGGATGGGCAGGTGGGTGGTGGTGAGAGTGGGACCAGGAGCAGACCAGACACCTCAAGCTCCAGATCCAGCCACAGTAATGGCGGCAAGAGCTAGCAGGGGCAGTGGGCACTAGGTTAGGTTTGGAGGGCACTGAAGAAAAGGGGAGCCCTATGGACACAGCAGCCGAAGGTAGCAGCTCCTGACAGGTGGGGCAGCAGAGAGCAGCCAGCCAGGGCCCTGGAGACTGGAGTCAACTGTCCTTTCAGGCCTTCTGAGACCTGCCAGGGTCGAATTGTTCTACCCTAATGATATGGACGGGGCTCGGAAATCCCAGCAGTGCTAAGAAGTCTGGCACCTTCCACTATCCTTCTCCTGGTAGCTGAGGAGTCCACCCAGCAAACAGGACAGGGCATGCAAAGAAGAGCCAGGACATTGGCGAGCCTTCCTGCCTGCAGACTCCCTAATTACTCTCCTGGGCTCCTCGTGCCCAGTCAGAAGGCAGCCAAGTCATCTGGACCCTCTGCTGCTGGAGAACTGGGAGAAGAAAGATAAGATAGCTGGAGAAATAATGTATGAAAGAATGTATATATGCATATATATATTTATTTATTCACATATGTATGTACACATACACACACACACTCTTTAAAACAATGATATCCAAGACCAGGATTGCACCACTGGTGTCCCTAGCAGCCCTGGGGCGGTAATCCCTTGAAGTGTTTGCCCACTCTGTAAGGGGCACTCTCCTCTCTTCCATGTGACCCTCTTCATACTGTTGACTCTCTGAACACTCAGTGGTTAAAAAAAGAGAACATTGTGTTGGCCCCATGGTCTGGAGGTTAAGGGAGCCAGATTCCCACATAGCTGACCACAGTTTGAATTCCTGCCTGGCATGTGGGTGTGTGCACTTAAGTGCCCAAAATTCTGATGGGAAGGAGGAATGGAGGAAAAAGGATTGTGGCAGGACCACATCCCATTGGGGGTGCTTTCTCTGTCTGGCAGGTACCCTCTGGAAATAAAAAAAAAAAAAAAAAAGAAATGAAGGCCAGAGTAGGACAGAGTAGGGCTGGCACCAGCTGTGGCTGGGAGTTTGTCTCCTCTGGCCTCACCAAAGTCCAGCCCCGGGGCCTGCTGCTATCCGGCTCTCCTCACTCCTCTGTTCTGCAAGCTCACTCAGAGCAGTGGGGAGTGGGAGGACACTGTGTGGGTGAGCACATCGTTTCGCTCACTTCATCACAACTGCCCTGCCAAGCGTTAACCCACATTGCACAAATGGGAACCTGAGGCTCCGGCAGGTTGTGGCCTGCCTGCTGCCACGCATTACATAAGCGGGGTGCTGGGCTCTGATGAGGGTGGACTGCACAGTTCCTGCACAGATGGAAGAAACTGGCCCTGATCTCGAGTCACAGTGGATGGGGACCAAAGATGGCAAAGGCTCAGGTCAGAGATGCTTGGGAAGCAGCCTGGCTGGGCCTTGGAGGTCTCTGAGGTGTCTTTCTTGGCAGAGGCCATGGCTAGCTGCTCACAGAGCAGGACAGGCCTCATCCAACACAGCCCTTTCCTTCTAGTCATAGCTGCCAATGAGCTGGCCTGTCGGGGCCTGGACCACTTGGAGGAAAAGATCCCAGCCCTCCAGTACCCTCCAGAGAAGGTGAGCCCCTCCCCTCTCCTCCCCTTCTTTCCCGTCCCTTGCTTTCCCACTTCTGTTGTCACGACCTCTCAGGGAGGAGAGGGCAGGAGCTGATGACATGATGTGGTGAAGCTGTCTGTATTTTGATATGACTCTTCTCTGCCACATAGCCATTAGTGAAGACCACAAGAGAAGGTCTGTTTGTCTCCGAGACCTGTGCTCCTCACTCTCCCTTTGTCCAGACAAACGGCAACATCTTTGTCACAAAGGAGCTCCCGGCAAATGATGAGAAAAAAGGAAATTATTTCAATGCAGAAATTGTAGGAAAATTACCCAGATCTATAAGTTAGTGTAAATGCAGGTGGGAGTGCGAGCAGCTTTTTTAGGGAAGGTCAGAGGAAATACTTCTGGAATTTGGAAGAGGAGATGTCTGTATACAGGTATCAAGACAAGTGCCACCAAACTGGAGGCCTTTGGGGCCATCTCGCAGGGCCCCACCCCTGATGGCATATGAAGAGGCCAGCAGAGCAGGTGGCTGGCACAGGGAGAGTTAGAGTCCTTCCCCTTTAAAAAATCTAGCTTAAGTCACGTGTCCAAATGTAAATGCCAGTTCCTAGATCTTTAGATGAGGCCCTCCTGGGAGCTGGGCTCAGAGCCCACACTTCTGACCCCCCTTTCCCACTTCCCCAGATCGCCTCTGAGCTGAAGGGCACCATCTCCACCCGCCTTCGCAGTGCCAGAAACAGCATCAGTGTCCCCATTGCAAGCACTTCGGACAAGGTCCTGGGTGCCGCCCTGGCTGGCTGTGAGCTCGCCTGGGGGGTGGCCAGAGATACTGCAGAATATGCCGCCAGCACTCGAGCTGGCCGACTGGCCTCTGGAGGGGCCGACTTGGCCTTGGGCAGCATTGAGAAGGTGGTAGAGCTCCTCCTGCCTCCAGCCAAGGAAGAGTCAGGTACTTATCACTCACAACACAGGGGAGATAGGCCACCAGCCTGAAACCCGGGAATCAGCTGAAGGAGGCAGGGCTCATCCAGTCCCTACTGTGGAACAGGGAAGGCCCAGTGGGTCTTGCAGATGGGTCCTGAGCCACTTAGCCACTCTTTCTATCTGCAAAGGGGGAAACCGACTTGCACAAATCACCAGCAAGCTTATGGTGGAACAAGACAATGCTTCCCAGCCCCTCTGTCATCTCTCATCTTTCCCGAATCCCCACACAGCTCCTGCTCCTGGACGCCAACGGGCCCAGAAGCCTCCAAAGGCCAAGCCGAGCCTGGTGAGCAGGGTTGGGACTCTGGCCAACACCCTCTCTCAGCACGCCATGCAGACCACAGCCCGGGTGCTGAGGCAGGGCCACGCCCTGGCCATGTGGATCCCCGGTGTGGCACCCCTGGTGAGTGACTGCCCAGAGCTCTGACCAACCATGCCATCCCCATACCACTCCCTGCATACTGCTCCTACCCTACCTGACCCCCTCCTCGGAGCCTGCAGGCCTCCTGGTCCCTCCCATCCCACTGGTCATGCCTACTCTTGTCCTGGGAACATTCTCTCTTCCATACTGGGCTGAGGCTTGAGGTCTAAGGACAAGAGGCCTGAAGTGAGGTAGAGTAGTCCTCAGGCCACAGGGGGAGACAAAGGACAGACGTGAGCTGAGGGCAGTCTTACCCACCCCTCACAACTCATCTCCCTCATTCTCCCTCTGTGTCTGTCCCTCCGCAATCCTCATCCTTCTTCCCTCTGAGTACTCCCTCACTCTGCCATCCACACATGGGTGAGTGTCATCCTTAAGTAAGCGAAGCACAGAACCAGGTTCATCAGATGTGCTGTCAACTGCCCCAGGTTTCCAATTCCCTTCTGATTTCCATTCCCACTCCACCCTAGGCAAAGCCGCTTTGTCTAGGTCCACTGCTTCCCCTGCCACCTCTATGCATATTTTAGCAGAGATAGGCTGGGTTTGTTTTGTTTTTTTATACTGGGGAACTTTAGTAAGAAGCTTGGCCTTTTTAGTAAGGCCAAAAATGAAATAACACTAACACATAAAAGTCAGCAAATAAGTCAGCCACGCCAGTTGTCATTGAGTGGTGATTTAAAAACATCGGCATCCTAGCAAATGTTGCTCCTGAGGATATAGGAATGGTAGCTCCCCTTGGTCCCTTGTATGTAGGACCACTAACCACTGAGGTCTGAGACGGACTCACACTCCTGGCCCAATCTGTAGCAGGGCAGAACCTCAGGTGCCACCATTCAGTAGAATAGAATGGCATCACCAAAAGCTGTATGATGAGGCTCTGTGGGGTTCGGAGTGAGCTAAGCTGTGCCTCAGGAGATAGCAGCCCACCAGATCCTCCCATGGGGCTCTCTGGCTCAGTTGAATTTTTTACACTGAAGATGTGTGAGGTCTGTCTTCTGAAGGTAAGCTGCATATGCTTTATGACCCAGCAGTTCACTCCTGGCATATACCCAACAAAAATGAGCACGTGTCCTCCAATACATGACCAAAATGTTCATGTCAGCTTTCTCCTTGGCCAAGAACGGGAAACAATGCAAATATCCATCAATGATACAATGGGTAAATTGTAGTAATTTTACCAATGGAATATTGCACAGAAATGGAAAAGAAGGAACTATGCCCTTCTATATGCAAACACGTGTTTGACTCTCACCCCATAATGTTGACCTAAAGTATTCACGATTGAAAATACGTATGGTCATACTTTGATATTATGTTTTAAAATAAGCAAAATAGGGCCAGCCTATGGCCTGGTGTTTAAGGTGGCTTGACCCCACATGGTTGACCACTCAGGTCGAGTTCTGGACCTGGCGACTTGTAAAACATGCCTGGCACATGTGTGTGCCCAAAATTCAGAACAGAGGGAGAGATGGAGGAGAATGGATGATCAGTCCCCATGGGTGGTGCTTTCTCACTTTCCGTCTCTTTCTGCCTATCTCTGGTGAGTGCACATACTCTCTGGTAAATTTAAAAAATAATAGTTAAAAATAATTAAGTAAAATGATGGGGCCAGGTGACGGGACAGTGGTACTACCATTGAACTCAAATGGGAATGTCATAGGTTTATACCCTGGGACCTCTCTGGACATGCCAACTGAGACTGTAGGTGGATGGTGGCAGAAGGACCCTCTTGGGGTACCTGTTTCTCTATCATGAAATAAAAATAAATAAGCAAAAAAATTTTAAAAATAAGTCAAAGGCACAGTGATAGAAATCAGGTGAGCATATAGCACTCAAGGGAGCGTGGACCCTGGAGGCCCAGGATATGTGAGGGAGTGATATTGGAAAAAGCCTCTATCTTCTCTGTCTTGCTCTGGGGTGGCTACACTGCTGTGTACTTGTCAAAATTCATAGACCTGGGCGCTATAAGCATGTGCGCTTTGGTGTAAATTATCACTCAAAGTCTGCTGGGCCAGGCCCCAACCCTGGGCTTTGGCAGTGGGGGCTCCCCTGAGGCAGGGGAGGCAAAGGCTGTTAACCCGCACCCTGCTGCCCTTCCTCCCTTAGAGCAGCCTGGCCCAGTGGGGCGCATCAGCAGCCATGCAGGTGGTGTCCCGGCGGCAGAGCGAAGTGCGGGTGCCCTGGCTCCACAACCTCGCTGCCGCACAGGAGGAGGACCACGACAACCACACGGACTCAGAGGGAGAGGAGACAGAGGAGGAGGAAGACATGGAGGCCACAGAGAACACGTTCCGTGAGGTGAGGGGAGGGCAGGAGCCTTAGGGCCTCACAGCTCCCAAAGGGGGTGGGAAGCAGAGGCACAGGGTCCCTGCCCCAGCCCCAGGGTCATGGTGCAGCGGTGTAGCACTCTTCACTGCATCCCAGACACCAGGGCCACAGAGTACTTTGTCATTCTCTCAGCTGACCCTTTGAACACTCTGTAAAATAGGCAGTGCACAGGTCATGGCCTCATTTTACAGATATAGAAACCGAGGTTCAGAGAAAGCTGCCCAAGGTCGCTCAGCTAGGCACAGCCAGGCCAAGTCTTTTTCAGTTTGGTGTCTCTGTGCTTTCCCCTCCAGTTCTGGGGCTGAAAGGGAAGGGATGGATAGGTCAGGGAAGCCCCAGAAGAAGGCTCTGACCCTGCCTCTGCCTCCAGGCCGCAGCCCCGCCCAGCGTGCAAGGTCTCCTGGGTGGTGTGGCCCACGCCCTGCAGAAGGCCCTCCGGAGCACCGTCTCAGTTGTGACCTGGGCACCGGCGACTGTGCTGGGCACAGCGGGAAGGATGCTGCACCTCTTGCCACCCCGCCCTGCCTCCTCAACCAAGGGGAGAGCCATGTCCCTATCAGATGCTCTGAAGGGCGTCACTGACAACGTGGTGGACACAGTGGTGCACTATGTGCCGGTGAGTCCCACCCTGGACTAACGTTCCCTCTCCCCGGGGGACCCGGAGAGGACAAAGGCGATTTCACTGAAGTGGTTACAGGCCCTCTCTTTTCCCCTAGCCCTCTGGAGACCCTCCTCCAATCCTCAGTACCCACCCCCCCAAAAAAAAATCATGACATACTGGAGCCCCTCCAGCCCCATGAGTATTGAGGCCCATGGATGGCCCTGGCACGAGGCCTCTCCCCAACCCTTCTTCCCACCTGCTGGTAGGTGTCTCCACTGTCACTGGGGTCACCCAAGGCTCAGCCCTCACCCCCAGCTCCTGACTGAAGGTTCTGGCAGAACTATGCACTTTGTTGGGAAAAGGCTGGAGGGAAGCTTCCAGAGCATGCCGAGGGTGGCCATGAGTTTCAGGGACCAGCAGCTGGCGCCCCAGCCTAATTCTATGGCTTGTGACAGACAGGAAAGCCAAGGACACCAGTGCATTCCTGTGGCAGCCCTGACCTCTTCCTGGGGTGAGGGACAAGCTGTGCAGGGAAGGAGAGCTGGACACCGGTTTCTCGGTCACTCTCTGCCAACAAGGGAGTCTCGGCAGCCAACCTGTTCCCCGTGGGCCTAGAACAAAACCAGGCTGGGGTACCCAGACCCTATCCAGGTCCGTGTGTGGGCCACATTTGCCTACAGCTCTGGTCCAAAGAAGCATTAAGAAAGCCAATGACCTCCAATTGCAAGTCCCTTATGGGAGGACCCAGGGGTCCAAAAACCTAGGGAGACACCGCTTGCCTTACCCGAGAGGCCTGGACCATGGAGATGCTCAGAGTGGGCAGAACCTCGGGGGGGTCTCCCTGGAGCCTGCTAGCCAGCTGTCCTACACCCAGCCAGCCACTCTTGGGGAAGTGAAGGCGAGGGCCCTGGCAGGGGTGCGGGCACTGGGACCCAAAGAGGGAACCCTAACGCGGCTGCCGGGCCCTCAGCTCCCCAGGCTGTCGCTGATGGAGCCCGAGAGCGAATTTCGGGACATCGACAACCCTCCACCCGAGGTGGAGCGCCGGGGGTCGGGGGCTCCGCCTACCAGCCCAGAGACAGCGCCACGACCAGGGCAACCCCGTGGCAGCCAGCGCAGCGCGCGAGGACTCAGTGCACCCTCGTGCCCGGGTCTGGAAGACAAGATGGAAATGTCTCCTTCCCAGCGTCCGGGCTTCCCGGCGGTGCCCCGCGAGAAGCCGAAGCGCAGGGTCAGCGACAGCTTCTTCCGTCCCAGCGTCATGGAGCCCATCCTGGGCCGCGCACAGTACAACCAGCTGCGCAAGAAGAGCTGAGCGAGCCGCCGCCACACCCGGGCGGCCTCGCCCGCCCGCCCGCCAGTCACCGCTGGCCAGCCGTTCCTTAACAATTTATTACGCAGAACCCACACTGTCTAGGTGAGCGCTGACTTCCTCCAAGTGGTCCCTCGGTGACCCCAAAGCCTTTCTGACGATGCCGCCAAGGCACATCCTTTTAGGGCTTAGCAGTGAGCCCATTTTCAAGGGGCACCCGAGCGGCAGCCTGTTCTGATTGTATGGTTGTTTTTTTATTTTTTTTTTACTAAAAGAGTAATTGCCCAACTCACTGTCACACTTCTTTAACCAAACTTGTGGCCAAATGTCACGGACAGTTTCCAAAATCCAGATCCGTCCTCCGTGGACAAATAGTTGCCATCAATGATTGAATGGTATTTCTCACACCACCATGAGGGACCCAACAGGACCCCTTCTGCCACATGTTTAAGCACTGAACTCAGAGGTCCTCTGATTATCTAGGCCCTCATCAGACTACTCTGAAGGGAACCACAGTTAGTGCAAAAGATGTTGTGCATTTATTTAAAATACCAGCTTCACTTTCAGAGTATTCCCTACCCTTCAGCTACTGAGTCCTGGGTGTGTCCTCTATCAGGCCTTCCAACTTCTCGCTCAGGGCCACAACTCCATTTGCATCATTAGCCCCTTCTACCTGCATCCTTTGAAAACTGGCATCCCCAGGTGCTGGGGGGTGGCAGTGGTGGCCCTTCACCCACTATAGACCATTCTAAATATATAGATGTTGTATGTGGACTCCATAGACACAGTTCATCCCAAGTTCTATTTTGGGGAACATTCGTGTTTAGTAAATGTAGAAAATACATACATTTATATTCTTTAAAAATTCAAATATTGCAAAAGGGTGTGCATCATCTTTCCTGAATTGCCCAGTTCTGCTTCACAGAAACAATCAGAGCAGTCTCTTGTGTATCATCCCAGTTATGGGCTCTGCATGTGCAAACACGCTTTTGTTTGCACAATCCGTAGGATTTATACTCGCTTTTTTTTTTTTTAACTTAATACGTCTTAGAGATCTTGTATTGGTATCATAAATTCTACCTGTTCTTTTTAATGACCATGTATGTAGTAAGTACTTCATCCTATGAATGTACTTGACTGGTTTCCTACTGATAGACTTCTAGGCTGTTTCCAGTGGTTTGCTACTACAAACAGGTCTGTAATAAATGTCCTTATTAAAAAATGTCTCATGTACACATGTGGCTGTATCTAGTGGATACTCTTGTAACTCCTAACCCTGACATGCTGAGTGAAAGATAATGCCCTGTAGCCTAGTGGTGAAGGGAGCTGGACCCCACATGCCCACCCTGGTTTGAATACTGACCCCAGTGGCTTGAGAAACATGCCGGGTGCATGTGTATGTGTGCCCCAAATCCCAAGAGGATGGAAAAATGAAGAAGAGATTGTGGTTTGATCACACCCTAATGAGGATGATTTCTTCCTCTCTTTCTGTCTCACTCTAGTGGGCACACATGCCCTCTAGCAATTAAAAAGGAAAAAAGAGGGGCCAGCAGATGGTGTACTGGTTACATTGCTGGATTCCCACATGGTCAATCATGGTTTGAGTCCCAGACCTGGTGGCTTGAAAATCATGCCAGACATTTGTGCACTTGTGGCCAGAATCCCGGAAGAGAAGGGATTGCAGTGTGGGCATCCCCCCGGGGGGGGAGTGATTTCTCACTTTCCCTCTCACTGTGTCTCTCTCTCCTGTAAGTGCATGTGCCCTAAAGACAAAAACCTCTACAAATATAAATAAATAAATGAAAAAAGTTCATAGAGAATATGTATTATGTATTTTTAAGAGTTACTTTATTTATTTTAATTTGACCAGAGAGGGACAGAGAGAAAGAGAGTTAGAAAGCAAGCCACCAGGTCAGGGACTCAAACCACACTCAGCCATGTGGGAGTCCAGCTCCCTTAACCACCATGCCCCTGTCAGCCCATATTTTGTATATGTTATGAAAAAATATATACGTGGGTTTCAAAACTGTTAGGCACCAAAATAAACTCGTACTTGAACTCCATTTTCCATGAACTTCAAGTCCCCTTGTAGAGCTAGCTGAAGATATCTAGCAATTTCTACAGCCTTTTTTTTTTTTTGAGAGGTTTTTGCTATAGGGCGCATGCGCTCGCCAGACAGACAGACAGACATAGAGACAGAAAGCGAGAAATTACCTCCCAGGAGGGATGGCCACGCCACAATCCCTTCTCCTCCGTTCTCCTCTCGGGATCGTGGGCATGCATGCACATGCTCCCAGCGTGAGTTTTAAGCCACCAGGTCCGGGACGCGAACTGTGGTCGGCTACGTGGGAGTCCAGCGACATAGCCATTACGCTAATTGCTGGTCCCTCTACAGCCTTTAATTATGTTGCCTGTCAGGGAATCTTGTATACACATAATTAAATTTTGCTGCCATCTTAAATTTGTTTTTCTTTTTCTTTTTTTTTTTTGAGAGTTTTTTTTTTTCACTATAGGGCGCATGCGCTCGCCAGACAGACAGAGAGAGACATAGAGACAGAAAGCGAGAAATCACCCCCCAGGGGGGATGGTCACGCCGCAATCCCTTCTCCTCCATTCTCCTCTCGGGATCTTGGGCACGCATGCACACGCGTCCGGCGTGAGTTTAAGCCACTGGGTCCGGGACTCGAACCGCGGTCAACTACGTGGGAGTCCAGCCACATAGCCATTACGCTAACTGCTGGTCCCAAATTTCACTTTTTCTAATGACACTTTAACTGACAAATGTGTGTCCAGGTTTTAACTAAAATGCATCCACGCATGGTGTTCCTACTGCAAACAGTCTACCAGAGGTCACAGGGGAAGATCCCCATCTTCTGAAGGGTGTCTGTGGGCCCCTCAGATCACCCTCCTGCCTCTGGTGCGGAGTTTCACATGGCAATGCCTGAACGTTGCTACTCGAGTTCAGAAATGCTAAAATGTGAAAAAATTGAGAGGCTTAGAACTGAGGGAACATTTTTTTGGAGAAGCTTTTGCTATAGGGCATGTGCGCTCACCAGAGACACACACACAGAGAGACAGAAATCGAGAAATCACGCCCCAGGGGAGATGGCCACACACGCAATCCCTTCTCCATTCTTCTCTCGGCATCTTGGGCATGCACACACACCCGCCCGGAGTTGTTTAGGCCACAGGGTCCGGGACTCGAACCATGGTCAGCTACATGGGAGTCCAATGGCATAGCCATTACACCATCTGCTGGTCCTTTGAGGGAACATTTTTTAAATGCGGAGAGACCGAAGTTTCTTTTTTTTCTTTTTTTCAGGGGTGTGTGCCTTCGGACTGGCAGTGAAAAACAAAGAGGGTTAAGAAGGGACTCTTGGCTGAGGACAGGCCACGATTGTGTGGAGTCCAGTTTGGAGACTTCCAGAAAGTAAGGAGATGGAGTGATTGCGGCTCGGCCCTCCGGCTCCGCCCCTTTCTCGTGGAGCCCCGCCCCGCCTGCGGGCTGAGGGCAGGGCCCCGCCGGGTTCCCGCCTCCCAGAGCCCAAGTGGGCGGAGTTGAGGATGATGGGAGGGATATTTTAGGAGGCTGGGGTCCCGATGACGGCATCCGAGCGCGCCGCGCTGAGGCTCGAAGCCTGACTGCCCGACCTTCCTGGCACCGGGTAAGGAGCGTATGGGCACCGGACCGAGTCCGGGGCGAGGACCCGGGTTGGTGGTTGGGAGCGGGCGCGCGTTCTCTCCTCTGCGCAGACCTGGGCCGGGCGGCGCCGGAGCGGGCAAACCTGGGGAGCCCTGACCCGGCACCAGGACCGCTGTCCCCCTGCCTGTCTACTTCCCAGGCCCCTGAGGTCTTCCCTGAGCGAGTGGGCCCCCTCTTGCCCAAACCTGCGGGCGAGGCCGGCGTCTCAGGCCTGGACGTGAGAAACGAGCGCCGAGGCGTTATCGCGTCTTCAAACTTTCCTGGAGCCCGTGTCCCGAGCCCGTCGTCTCCTCTCTCGGGGTCTCCGCCCCCGGCGCGGGCTCACGCCTGTGCACTAGTCCGGGCGCCTTCGGTGCGCCCTGCATTGTGTGTCCTGAGCAGGGCCCGGAGAAGCCGGGACCAACGGGGCTCGAAAAGCTCACGGAGCGGGCGGTGCGCCAAGCCCCCCGGTCGTATCGCAAGGCTGGGTGTGCCCGGGGCCGGACTCCCGACACGGCCTGAATGGTGGAATGCGCGAAGGGGCTCGTCAGTAAATAAGGTGCGGCGTGTTAGGAGGGTGCGGTAAGAGGACAGAGCATGGGGTGCTTCCTTGGATGAAGCTTGTTGATGACTATCTAGTGGGCAGAGTCGGACCTTGTGCTGGGGACGGAGGGAAGGTTCCTTCTCGCTCCTAGTCTGAGAAGCGGAACTACACAGGAGTGTGTGTGTGGCGGGGTCGTGGGTGGGTGCACACAGAGCAGTTGCGCTTTCCTGGCTCCCTGAAGACGGGGCCGGGGGGGGTGTGTCCAGCCTTGAAGGTTTTGGTAACCCTGAGCAGTTGCAGACAGGGACTGGTGAGGAAAAGACGGGTTCCAAGAGCAGTGAGGGCAGGCAGGGGGCCTGTTTCAAGACTTGTCTTTTCCTGTTAAAGTTTTGAATCCCAGGTGCAGTGGGGAACCTTTTTGGGAGGAGGGTTAAGCAAGTGGGTGATGTGATTGTATTTGCATTTTTAAAAAATTTGTGTGCTATGGTCAGCGAGAAAAGAGAAAGCACCCCCAGGGCCATGGTCTCGCTTCATTTCCTTCTCCTCTATTCTCCTTTCAGAATTGTGGGCATGCACTCACGTGGCCAGTGTGTTTTTTAGGCAGCCAGGTGGGACCCAGCTGCTCATGCATCCATCTGGCCTGCATTTACAATTTTGAAAACCTCCCCTAATAGTGGGCTGGGAAGAGGCAAGGAGACACAGCTGTTAAGAATCCTCCCTGCAGGGACCAGCAGTTAGCGTAATGGCTATGTTGCTGGGCTCCCACGTAGTCGACCGCAGTTCGAGTCCCTACTGGTGGCTTAAACTCACGCTGAGCACGTGGGCGTGCCCAAGATCCCAAGAGGAGAATGGAGGAGAAGGGATTGCAGCGTGGCCATCCCCTCTGGGGGGTGATTTCTCACTTTCTGTCTCTCCGTTTCTCTCTGTCTGGTGAGCGTATGCGCCTTATAGTAAAAACCTTTCCAAAAAAAAAAGAATCTTCCCTGCAGGATGTAAGTGGCCAAGACCAGGGCTTTGGCAACAGAAGAGGAGCAGCAGGTGAGAGGTTTTATTTATTTATCTTTCTACGTTGTGCACTGTGCTTACTGGAGGGGAAGGGAGTGAGAAAGCACCCTTCAGGGGGATGGCCACATCACAATCCCTTAATTCTCTCAGGATTTGGGGCATGTGCATGCATGTGTGCACATGTGCATATTTTTGAAGCCACTGGGTCTAGGACTTGAACCACACAGTTAACCATGTGGGATCCAGCTGCTTTAACCTCCCCCCCACCTGCTGACCCTAAGGTTTCTCTCTCTCTCTCTCTCTCTTTTTTTTTTTTTTAAGAATTACTTATTTAATTTCCTTTATTCATTCATTTACTTTTTAAAAATTTGACCAGACACACAGAGAGAGAGAGGGAGGGAGGAAGCAAGAAAGCAAGTCCCCATGTCCAAGACTTGAACCCTGGTTGCCCATGTTGGAGAATCCAGTGCCTTAAGCACCATGCCACCTGTTCCCTGGTTTCATTTTCATAACAGTTTGTTTATTTGAGCAGAGGGTAGGGAGACTTCATCCCCAACAGGATCTTAACACCATGTTCTACAGCAGCCCTAGCCAGCCTAACCCTTCCGCAACCCAAAACCTATCGCTAACCAAAACCCTTCACCTAACCTAAAAACTAACCCTAACACTCACCGCCAACCCTAGCCCTGACCCTAAATCTAACCATAACACTCACCCTACGGTCACCCTAACTGTAACCCTAACTCTAGCTCCTAACCCGAAACAACCCCTAACCCGGACCATAGCCCTAAACCAAACCATAAGCCAAACCCCAACCCTGACCCTAACACTCCCCCCAACCCTAACCCTCAATCTAACCCTCACACTAACCCTTCTGCAGCCGGAAGCCTAACCCTATGTCTGACCCTATCGCCTCATGCTAACTCTGACCCCTGAGCCTCAACGTACCCCTTCTCCCCTACTTCAGCCTAGCCTGGACCATAACCCTACCCCTAACGCTCAACCCAACCCCTGACCCTGAACCTAAATTTAACCCTAACACTAACCCTCCTGTAAGCAGAATCCGAACCCTAACCCTACCCCAACCACTAACCCTAACTCCTGACCCTAACCGTAACAGTAACCAAAACCATCCACCTAACCCAAAAACTAACCCTAATCCTCACCGCTCACCATAGCCCTGACCCTAAATCTAAACATAACACTCACCCTACAGTCACCCTAACCCGAAACCCAACTTCTAACCTGGACCATAGCTCTAACACAAACCATAAGCCAAACCCCAACCCTGACCCTCAATCTAACCCTCACCCTAACCCTTCTGCAACTCGAAACCTAACCCTAAGCCTGACCCTATCGCCACCCCACCCTAATTCTGACACCTGAGTCTCACCGTACCCGTTCACCCCGACTTCAGCCTAGCCCAGACCCTAACCCTACCCCTAACCCTCAACCCTACTTCGGACCCTAAACCTAAATTTAACCCTAACATTTACCCTCCTGTAAGCAGAACGCGAACCCTAACCGTACCCCAACCACTAACCCTCACCCTAACTCCTGACCCTAACCGTAACACTAACCAAAACTGTCCACCTAACCCAAAAACTAACCCTAACCCTCACCGCTCACCCTAGCCCTGACCCTAAATCTAACCATAACACTCCTCCTACCATCACCCTAACCGTAACCCTAACCCTAGCCCCTAACTTGAAACCTAACCCCTAACCTGGACCATAGCCCTAACCCCAACTATGACCCTAAAAGTCCCCCCTAAACCTAACCCTCAATCTAACCCTCACCCTAACCCTTCCACAACCCTAAACCTAACCCTAAGCCTGACCCTATCGTCCCTCCCTAACCCTGACCGCACTGTACACCTTCACCCCAACTTCAGCCTAGACCGGACCCTAACCATACCACTAACCCTCAACCCTCCCCGGACCCTGAACCTAAATTTAACCCTAACACTCACCCTCCTGTAAGGAGAACCCGAACCCTCACTCTAGCCCCAACCACTAACCCTCACCCTAACTCCTGAACCTAACCGTAACACTAACCAATACCATCCACCTAATACGAAAACTAACCCTAACCCTTACCGCTAACCCTAGCCCTGACCCTAAATCTAACCATAACATTCACCCCACAATCACCATAACCATAACCCTAAACCCTAACCCGAAACCTAACCAATTACCCAGACAATAGCCCTGACTCAAGCCATCAGCCAAACCCCAACTCTGACCATAACACTCCCCCCTAACCCTAACCATCAATCTAACACTCACCCTAACCCTTACTCAAGACTAAACGTAACCCAAAGCCTGACCCTATCGTCCCACCCTAAACCTGACCGCTGAGACTCACCGTACGCCTTCACCCTGACTTCAGCCTAGCCCGGACCCTAATCCTACCCCTAACCCTCAACCCTACCCCGGACCCTGAACCAAAATTTACCCTAACACTCACCCTCCTGCAAGCAGAACCCGAACCCTAACCCTAGCGCCAACCACAAACCCTCACCCTAACTCCTGACCCTAAGTGCAACGCTAAAAACCCTAACCCTAACTCCTGACCCTAAGTGCAACGCTAACCAAAACCGTCCACCTAACCCGAAAACTAACCTTAACAGTCACCACTAACCCTAGCCCTGACTCTAAATCTAACCATAACCCGCACCCTACCATACCCTTAACCGTAACCCTAACCGTAGCCCTAATCCAAAACCTGACCCCTAACCTGGACCATAAGCCTAACCCAAACCATAAGCCAAACCCCAACTCTGACTCTAAAAGTCCCACGCTATTCTTAACCCTCAGTGTAACCCTCACCCTATGCCTTCCACAACCCTGAACCTAACCCTAAGCGTAACCCTATCGTCCCAGCCTAACCCTGACCCCTGAGCCTCACCGTACCCTATCACCCCGACTGCAGCCTAGCCCGTACCCTAATCCTACCCCTAACCATCAGCCCTACCCTGTACCCTGAATCTAAATTTAACCTAACACTCACCCTCCTGTAAGTAGAACCTGAACCCTAACCCTAGCACCAACCACTAACCCTCGCTCTAACTCCTGACCCTAAGTGTAACGCTTACCAAAACCGTCCACCTAACCCAAAAACTAACCCTAACCCTCAACGCTAACCCTTGCCCTGACCCTAAATCTAACCATAACCCGCACCCTACCGTACCCCTAACCGTAACTCTAACCCTAGCCCTCACCAGAAACCTGACGCCTAACCCGGACCATAAGCCTAACCCAAACCATAAGCCAAACCCCAACCCAGAAGCTAAAACTCCTCCCTAAACCTAACCCTCAATGTAACCCTCACCCTAACCCATCCGCAACACTAAATACAACCCTAAGTCCGACCCTATCGTCCCACCCTAACCCATGAGCCTCACTGTATGCCTTCACCCCGACTTCAGCCTAGCCCAGACCCTAATCCTACCCCTAACCCTCAACCCTACCCTGGACTCTGAACCTAAATTTACCCTAACACTCACCCTCTTGTAAGCAGAACCCGAACCCTAACCCTAGCCCCAACCATTAACCTTCACCCTAACTCCTGACCCTAAGCGCAACGCTAACCAAAACCGTCCACCTAACCCGAAAACCAACCCTAACCCTCACCGCTAACCCTAGCCCTGACCCTAAATGTAACCATAACCTGCACCCTACCGTACCCATAACCGTAACCCTAGCCCTCACCCAAAACCTGACCCCTAACCCAGACCATAAGCCTAACCCAAACCATAAGCCAAACCCCAACCCAGAAGCTAAAACTCCTCCCTTAACCTAACCCTCAATCTAAACATCACCCTAACCCATCCGCAACACTAAACATAACCCTAAGTTCGACCCTATCGTCCCACCCTAACCCTGACCCATGAGCCTCACTGTACGCCTTCACCCGGACTTCAGCCTGGCCCGGACCCTAATCCTACCCCTAACCCTCAACCCTACCCCGGACCCTGAACCTAAATTTACCCTAACACTCACCCTCCTGTAAGCAGAACCCGAACCCTAACCCTAGCGCCAGCCACTAACGCTCACCCTAACTCCTGACCCTAAGCATTACACTAACCAAAACCGTCCACTTAACCCAAAAACTAACCCTATCCCTCACCACTAACCCTAGCCCTGGCCCTAAATCTAACCATAACCCGCACCCTACCATACTCCTAACCGTAACCCCAACCCTACCCCAAAACCTGACGCCTAACCTGGACCATAAGCCTAACCCAAACCATAAGGCAAACCCCAACCCTGACCCTAAAAGTCCCACCCTATTGCTAACCCTCAGTCTAACCCTCACCGTAACCCTTCCACAACACTAAACCTAACCCTAAGCCTGACCCTATCGTCCCACACTAACCTTGACCCCTGAGCCTCACCGTACCTCTTCACCCCGATTTCAGCCTAGCTCGGACCCTAATCCTACCCCTACCCCTCAACCCTACCCCAGACCCTGAACCTAAATTTATCCTAACACTCACTCTCTTGTAAACAGAACCCGAACCCTAGCGCCAACCACTAACGCTCACTCTAACTCCTGACCCTAAGCGTTATGCTAACCAAAACCGCCCACCTAATCCAAAAAGTAACCCTATCCCTCACCGCTAACTCTAGCCCTGACCCTAAATCTAACCATAACCCGCACCCTACCGTACCCCTAAACGTAACCCTTACCCTAGCTCCTAACCTGAAACCTGACCCCTAACTCATACCATAAGCCTAACCCAAACCATAAGCCAAACCCCAACCCCGAAGCTAAAACTCCCCCCTGAACCTAACCCTCAATCTATTCCTCACCCTACCCCTTCTGCAACAGTAAACGTAACCGTAAGCCCGACCCTATCATCCCACCCTAAACCTGACCCCTGAGCTTCACCATACGCCTTCAGCCCGATTTCAGCCTAGTCCGGACACTAATCCTACCCCTAACCCTCAACCCTACCCTGGACCTTGAACCTAAATTTACCCTAACACTCACCCTCCTGTAAGCAGCACCCGAACCCTGATGCTAGCCCCAACCACTAACCCTCACCCTAACTCCTCTCCCTAACTGTATCACTAACCAATACCGTCGTCCTAACCCGAACCCTAAGCATAATTCTCACCCGACCCTATTCCTAAACCTATATCTATCCCTAACAGTAACCATGCCGTAATCCTAACCCTAACCCTTAGCATAGCGTCAAAACCGAACCCTAATGCCTAACTCTGGTCGGAACGCTAATGAAAACCATCAGCCTCACCCAAAAACTAATCCTAACTCTCACCCCTAACCCTCGCCCTGACCCTAAATCTCACCATAAAGCTCACCCTTCACCCCCAACTTCACCCCCAACTTCACCCCCAACTTCACCCCCAACTTCACCCCCAACTTCACCCCCAACTTCACCCCCAACTTCACCCCCAACTGGATCTTGACACCATGTTCTACTGTAGCCCTCGCCAGCTCTGGAGCTCAGGCTCGTGCATGTCTTGGCTACTCAGGGAGGTTTCTGTCTGCTAACCCAGAACCTGCCCATGTATGTCAGCCTTGCTGTGCTACCATCCGGTTTGAGATATTTAGAGGATGGAAAGTGCTAGGATTTGGCAGTGGGATTTTGATTTTGAAAGATCTGTGACTTTTCTGAAGAAGGTGGGGCCAGATCTGATATGACAGAGTATACCCAGCAGGTATTAGGGAATGGCTCCCTGGTGTGGTGTGGTGTGGTGTGGTGCTCTGTGGATGTGTCCTTGTAGGAGATGGCATCGTAGGGAATGGTGCAGCTGGACCACAGAGGCCTCTGGGTACCAAGTCAGGGCCTTCTTTTGCCAGTGATGGAAGCCAGGAAATGTTTTTGTGTAGGACTGAATATGCAAGGGGGGCTTCAAAAAGTCTGTGGAAAGTGGAACTAAAGCATAAGTTTACGGGCTAGCAAGGGGCATGGTGGTTAAGGCACTGGACTGCCATATGGCCAACCTTAGTTCAAGTCCTGCACCTGGTGACTTGAAAATCATGCCGGGCATGTCTATGTACATGCCCAAAAGCCCAAGAGGAGAATGGAGGAGAAGAGGTTGTGGTGCAGCCATCCCCTCTGGGGGATACTTTCTTATTTTCCCTTTCTCTGTCTCTCTCCAGCGAGGGTATGTGGCCTATAACGAAAATAAAAAAATTTTTAAAAAAAGGAAAAAGAAAAGAAAACACTCAAACTGAAATCCATGTATGGTTTTTTTGGGAGAGGTTTTTGCTATACGGTGTATGCACTCACCAGAAAGACAGAAATAGAAAGCTAGAAATCACCCCCCCCCACCGCCCCCGCCCAGGAGGGACGGCCATGCTGCAATCCCTTCTCCATTCTCCTCTTGGGATCTTGGGCACACACGCACACACGCACACACGCCTGGTATGAGTTTAAGCCACCAGGTCTGGAACTCAAACCACAGTCGACTACGTGAGAGTCCAGCAGCATAGCCATTACGCCATTCATTGATCCTGAAATCCATGTATAGTTTTTTAAAAATTATTTCATTTTATTTATTCATTCATTTATTTTAATTTGACCAGAGAGAGCCACAGAAGGAGAGGGAGAGGAAGAGGGAGGGAGGGAAGGAGGGGGAGAAAGGAAGCCACCAGGTCTAGGACTCGAACCATGGTCCTCCATATGGAAGTATCCAGCACCTTAACCATCACGCCACCTGTTGATCCCTCCCATGTATAGTTTTTTTTTTTTTTGGGGAGAGGTTTTTGCTATAGGGCACGCGCGTTCGCCAGACAGACAGAGACAGGAGAGAAATCACCCCCCGGGGGGGTGGCCACCCCGCAGTCCCTTCTCCCCCATTCTCCTCTTGGGATCTTGGGCACATGTGCACATGCGCCTGGCGTGAGTTTAAGCCACCGGGTCCAGGACTCGAACCACGGTCAACTACGTGGAAGTCCAGCAACATAGCCATTACACTAACTGCTGGTCTCGCCCCCATGTATAGTTTTTAACATAACTATACATAAACTTCTTGAAGACAGCTCATATATCACGGTCTTCACAGCATTCAGGAACCAGGCTGGCCACAAGGATTTTTTTTTTTTTTTTGGAGAGGTTTTTGCTATAGGGCGCATGTGCTCTCCAGACAGACAGAGACAGAGAGACAGAAAGCAAGAAATCACCCCCCAGGGGGGATGGCCATGCAGCAATCCCTTTTTACTCGGTTCTCCTCTCGGGATCTTGGGCACGCACGCACATGCGCCCGGCGTGAGTTTTAAGTCACCCGGTCTGGGACACGAACCGCAGTCGACTATGTGGGAGTCCAGCAACATAGCCATTACACTAACTGCTGGTCCCATGGCCACAAGGATCTTATGAACTTTGAACACCCTCCTTTTATTTCTCTAAGGTCAGGACCTGTAGGATCTGGCTGTCACCTGCAGTGTGACTCTAGCCTGGAGTGCAGGTGCTGATGGTCATGGTCTCTCTCTTCACAGGGCCCAAGAGCAGTCTTCCCTCGACATGGGGCTGGAGGCCCAGAGGCTGCCAGCAGCAGAGGAGGCCCCAGTGAGGGTGGCTCTGCGAGTCCGCCCGCTGCTGCCCAAGGAGCTGTTGTATGGGCATCAGAGCTGCCTGCAGGTGGAGCCAGAGCATGGTCGTGTCACTCTGGGGCGTGACCGCCACTTTGGCTTCCATGTAGTACTGGCTGAGGACACTGGGCAGGAGGCGGTGTACCAGACCTGTGTGCAGCCCCTCCTCGAGGCCTTCTTTGAGGGCTTCAATGCCACCGTCTTTGCCTACGGTCAGACAGGCTCCGGAAAGACGTACACCATAGGAGAGGCCAGCGTGGGTGAGTGACTCTGCTCATGGCCCTCTGCCCACTCTGAGGGCTCCGTGGCTCCCTGAATTCCACTCTTGCCCTCTTGCTGCCATTCCCTGTTGAAGCTGGAGATGCTGAGGAAGAGAGAGCAGGTTTCCTAGACAGATCCAGGCCAGGGAGGGAACAACCATGTCAGTAGGCTGGGCAGGGCAGGAAAAAAGGGTCATGGAAGGTGAGTGGCTTTCTCAGCTCTACAGAGATGTGCCATGTTCTGGGACCTCAAAGAATGAAGGGTACAGGAAGTTGATGTGAGTCTGGAGGTGATCAGGATGGCTTCTGACAGTCAGGAATCCTTGTTCTAGTGGGAGTAGTCGGGAACGGGGACTGTTTGTCCTGGAAGAGATGTGCCTTGTCTGCTGCTTAGCTTTTTGTGGGCTGGTTCAGTGAGGCTCTGGGAGCAGAGTTTTGAGAGACGCTTTGGACCAGTTGACGGATATGCGCCCTTTTAAATAACACAAACTGCTTTCTCTTCAGCTACTGCCTAAGTCCATTCAGGCTGCTTATTACACAACATTGTAGCGTGGCCGGCTTAAAACAGATTTATGGCTCACAGTTCTGGGAAGTCGAAGATCAAGGTAGCAGTAGATTCAAGGGCCTGTTTTCTCATAGATACTGCTTTCTCTCTCCAGCCTCATATGGTGGAAGAGAAGGGGTCTGTTTCAGATCTCCTTCATTAGGGCTTAAAGGGCTGCACCCCCATGACCTATTCACCTCCCAAAGATTCCACTTCCTAATACCATCATATTGGGAGGAAGGATTTCCACACGTGAGTTTCGGAGAGACCAAAACATTCAGACCATAGCAGCCACAAAAGCATACTTGCAGAAAATTACAAAAATACAGAAAAACACGTGCACAAAGTAAAACCTCACTTGCCTTTCAGAAATCACTCACCCTATTAGTATTCTAGTTTCTTTCTCTATAAACATTATTACAATAAATGGGACTATACCTATTCTGTTTTTTTTTGAGAGGTTTTATTTATTTTTATTTTTTTAATTAAAAAATTTTTTTAGAATTATTTTATTTAACTTTATTATTATATCATTATTATTTTTCAGTTTGATCAGAGAGAGTGAGAGAATGGAAGTGAGAAAGCAAGCCACCAGGTCCAAGACTTGAACCGTGGTCGGCCATGTGGGAGTCCAGTGCCTTGAACCACCACGCCACTTGCCAGCCCCATGGAGAGGTTTTAGCTATAGAGCGTGTGCGCTCGCCACAAACACGGGGACAGATAGAGACAGAAAGCAAGAAATCACCCTCCGGGGGATGGCTATGCCACAATCCCTTCTCCTCCATTCTCTCAGGATCTTGGGCATGCATGCACATGCACCCGGCATGAGTTTAAGCCGCCAAGTCTGGGACTTGAACTGCAGTCGACTACCTGGGAGTGCAGCGACATAGCCATCACGCCAACTGCTGGTCCCAATTCTTTTTATCTTTTTAAAAGACTTATTTTACTTAACTTTATTTATTTTTAATTTGACCGGAGAGAGAACAGAGAGAAAGTGAGAAAGCAAGCCCCCAGGTTCAGGACTCAAACTGCAGTCGACCATGTGGGAGTCCAGCACCCTTAACTACCACGTCACTTGCTGGCCCCCATCTACCTATTCTTGTATATCCTGTTTTCTTAGCAATGTATCATGAACATTTCTCTGTGCAGGTCAAGCATCCCTAATACAAAAATCCGAAATCCAAAATACTTGAAATCTGAAACATTTTGAGCACTGACATGACACCACAGGGGGTAAATTCCACCTTGCTCTCTGATGTACAACCTTTGTTCCATGCATATATTTATTTTTTTAAGAATTATTTTCTCCTTCCTTCCTTCCTTCCTTCCTTCCTTCCATTTGACCAGAGAGGGAGGGAGAGGGAGGGAGAGAAAGTGAGAAAACAAACCACCAGGTCCAGGACTAGAACTGTAGTCAGCCATGTGAGTATCCAGTCTTAACCACCATATCACCTGCTGGGGCCCTCTTTTTTTCCTCTTATGGGATGTATGACCAGAGAAAGAGAGAAATCAACCCCCCCCCCCCAGTAGTCTGGCCACATCAGTCATTTCTCCTTCAGGCTCCTCTCAGGATCTTGGGCACACATGCATATGTGTCTGGTGTGATTTTCAAGCCACTGGGCCTGGGACTTGAACCACACAGCCAGCCACATGGGAACCATTGCCTTAACTTTAGTGCCATCTCCTGGCCTCCCGTTGCTTTTGACTCTTAAATTCTGTAGTTTTGCCTGATTACTTTGGAGCATGACTGTCCCAGGCTGCCCATCCCATTATGCCTTCACCGCTGCCTTCTCCAGGCTGGAGCCCTAGCTTCTGGGGCAGGGGCCTTGGCGCCTTGGCCATGTCTGGCTGAAAGCAGGGTGGCAGGAGGCCCTGTGCTGTCTCCCCAGCCTCCCTCCATGAGGATGAGCAGGGCATCATTCCAAGGGCCATGGCCGAGGCCTTCAAGCTTATCGATGAGAACGACCTGCTGGACTGCCTGGTGCACGTGTCCTACCTGGAAGTGTATAAGGAGGAGTTCCGAGACCTGCTCGAGGTGGGCACTGCCAGCCGGGACATCCAGCTGCGGGAAGATGACCGCGGGAACGTTGGTGAGGAGCCCTGGGGCCAGGCACCTGGCTTGGCAGGCTTCACCTGCCTCCAGGGGGTGGCTTACTAGTCTAGGGAGGGACTGGTACCCCAAACCTGGACGAGTTCTGCTTCAGTTCCCTCTTCTCCATTGGGTTCAGTATAGATGTTCCTTGATTTATGATGGGGGTTCTGCCTAATAAGCTCATCATGAGTTAAAAATATCTTCAATGGAAAGTGCATTTAATACCCCTAACCTACCGAACGTCAGAGCTTAACCTCTCCTGCCTTCAGTGTGCTCACGACACTCTCCTTAGACTACAGTGGGCAGTCATCTGACATAAAGCCTATTTTTTTAAAAAAAGAATAATTTTACTTACTAATTTTTATTTTAATTTGACCTGAGAGAGACAGGGAAAGTGAGAAAGCAAGCCATGAGGTCTGAGACTTGAACCCTGGTCAGCCACGTGGGCGTCCAGCACCTTAGCCACCACACCATCTGCCGGCCCCCCAAAAAAATTCATGTAATTTATTGAGTTCTGTATTGAAAGCGTAAAACAGAATGATTGTATGGGTGCTCGAAGCTAGGTTTCCACTGAACGCATAGTGTTTTCATACTGTGCCCATCACCGAAACTCGGGGGCCATCTGTCTGGCGCTTTTGTATCCTGAGTGAGAGGGCACTCAGATGGGCACCAGGGGAAGCTGGAGCCCTTCAAGGCCAAACTAGGATGGGCAGGACCCCTGGGCATGGAGAGGGGACTGGATCAGGATCAAGTGGTGGAGGACTGGAGCGGGAGGCCGCCTGGCCCCAGGGCTCACAGCCCGCTGTGTCCACAGTGCTGTGCGGGGTGAAGGAGGTGGACGTGGAGGGCCTGGACGAGGTGCTGAGCCTGCTGGAGGTGGGCAACGCAGCGCGGCACACGGGGGCCACGCACTTCAACCGCCTGTCCAGCCGCTCACACACGGTCTTCACCGTGACCCTGGAGCAGCGGGGCCGAGCCCCCAGCCGCCTGCCGCGCCCTGCCGGCGGCCAGCTGCTGGTCTCTAAGTTCCACTTCGTGGACCTGGCGGGCTCGGAGAGAGTGCTCAAGACCGGCAGCACCGGCGAGCGGCTCAAGGAGAGCATCCAGATCAATGGTAGCCTGCTGGCACTGGGCAATGTCATCAGCGCCCTGGGGGACCCGCAGCGACGGGGCAGCCACATCCCCTACCGCGACTCCAAGATCACTCGGTGAGCCGCCTCCGCGCCTCTGGCCTGGTGGGGAAGGGCTTTGACCTCGGGAGTACGGGTGAGGGTCCCTCTGACTTCTGGGGTCTCCGTGGAGCCCCTTCGGGGTGCCGCCCGCTGGCCCTGGTCCTGACTAGCCGCCCCTGCGCGTCCTCAGGATCCTCAAAGACTCGCTGGGCGGCAACGCCAAGACGGTGATGATCGCCTGCGTCAGCCCCTCGGCCTCCGACTTCGACGAGACCCTCAACACCCTCAACTACGCCAGTCGCGCACAGAACATCCGCAACCGCGCCACAGTCAACTGGCGGCCCGAGGCCGAG